TTCTCCCATCTGTAACCCAAAACTTCTAGATGATTAGAATTTAGACTTGCAGAAACAGGAAGCAAAACTCTTCTAGTTGACAACTAGGGGTTATAGTGAGTGGACCTATTCCCATTTCCATCACTTGATTCCTGGACCTTGATTCCTGTGAAGTGAGTTCCCTGGTCAGAAGCAATACTGTATGGAATATGATGTTGGTGGATAAGACATTCTGTAAATCCATTGATGCTAGTTTTGGCAGTAACATTACATGTAGGGAAGATTTGTCCTTTCCATTGAGGAAGTAGTCCAATATAGTCAGCCTGCCACTAGGTTGCTGGGGTAGTCACCCCAGGGAATGGGGTTATATCTGGGGCTCAGTGTTGGTCTCTACTGTTGGCTGATCTGGTACTCAGCAGCAGCAGTATCCAGATCACACCTAGTGAGTGTAAGTCCATGTTGTTGAGCCTGTGTATAGAACCCATCTCTGCCAACATCGCCACTTTTTTCTTGGGCTCATTGGGAAATGACATGAATGGCTGGGAAAAGAGGCTGACTGTCCACAGAGAGGCAGCCAATTTATTTGGTAATTGAACTCCTCTTCAGGTGAAGTCACCATTTGGTGAACATTTACATGGGACACACGTATCTTCACCCCCTTTGCCCATTTGGAGAGATCTACCTACATGCCTTTTCCCAAGATGTCTTTCTCACTACTTTTACAATCATGTTATTTCCAAGTCCCTGACCATCCAGTCAACCCATTGGCCCCAGCTGGTCAATCAGTGAGTAGTTGCACATTTGGTCTTTTCTCCTTCCAAACAAATTGTACGACCATGTGTACTGCCTAACTTCTGCCCACTGTGAAGATCTCCCTTCACCAGTATGAAGCAAGACCATAATTAATCTTAATAAAAACCTAGGATCTAATATTTATGGTGAAAGCTGAATGACCAGAGAAGCAGAGCAGCTAATCACCCTAGACTTCTTACCTCTATGAAATCTCAGACTGAGTGGGGGAGATCCTGTCTTTATGAATCATCAGACTTATTAGGCGGCTGAGATGTCTACCTGTCACATTATATTCCTTTCTTCACCTCCCTAGTGCTGGGATTAAGGTTTTCAGCCACCATCATTTGACTTTGTTTCTCTTTTAGACTGATGCAATCTTGTGCAGCCAATTTCTTGAACTTCTGATCTTCCTGCTTCCTCCTCCCAAGTACTGGTATTAAAGGTGTGTGCCACCACTGCTTGGCCTTCATGGTTAAGTAGTTGCTAGCTCTACCCTCTTATCTCCAGGCAAGCTTTGTCAGAACACAAACAAAATATCACACATACCAGTATCTTTCAGATACTGTCCCAGAATGGGGTTGAAATGCTGCAGTTGTCCACTTCTGAACATCACTGCATGATGTTCAGAAACATCAGTAAACCTGGCTTAGTCTTCTCTTCCTCAGTCAAGCAATCATATGGAAGACCCCATGAGGCTAGGGGTATATGGTGGCAGCAGAAGTCCTTGTTACAGGAGTGGAAACTATAGGGGTATGGACAACTTCTTATTGTAGCTTGCTTGTGCCTTCAAGACCTGCTTGTTCCTGCTCTCTCTCTCTCTCTCTCTCTCTCTCTCTCTCTCTCTCTCTCTCTCTCTCTCTCTCTCTCTTCTCCCCCTCTCTCTCTATCTGGTTTTTGGAGACAGGGATTCTCTGTGTAGATCAAGCTGGCCTCAAACTCACAGAGATCTGCCTGTCTCTGCCTCCCAAGTGCTAGGATTAAAGCATGTGCCACCACCACCCAGCAGGCCTACTCTCGTATATATCATACCCATTTGATAATAGATTGCTGCAATGCATGTCCTACTTTATGACTTGATGGGTTCAGGTTGCATGGTATGTCAGTGACTCATTGTCAAATATTCAGCTTTTTCCAGTGACTGGGAGTTTTTTCTTTTAATTTGTTTTTTTTTTATTAAAAGAAGAGAATTTTATTCTTGGCTCTAGGTAAAGACATGCTATGTCTTTTTTTCTTTGTTTAATTTAATTAGAAACAAGCTTGCTTCACATGTCAATCCCAGCTCCCTCTTCCTCCCCTCTTCTTTTGCCCCTCCACCAGCACCCCAGCCACCCACCCAATCTTCACACCGTTCCCCAGGGAGAGTGAGGCCCTCCATGCAGGATCTCCAGAGTCTGTCATTCCCCATGTGTCCAGGCTGAGAGAGCATCTCTCCATGTGGAATGGGCTCCCAAAGTTCATTTGTACACCATGGTAAATATTGATCTACTAACCAAGGCCCCAGAGATTGCTGAGGCCTCCTCACTGACATCACATTCAGGGGGTCTGGATCAGTCCAATGCTGGCCTTTCAGTCATCAGTCTGGGGTCCAAGAGCTCCCCCTTGTCAGGTCAGCTGTCTCTGTGGTTTTCACCAGCACGGTCTTGACCCCTTTGCTCAACACTCATCCCTCTCTGTCACTGGTTTCCAGGAGTTCAGTTCAGTATTTAGCTGTAGGTATCTGTCTCTGTTTTCATCAGTCCCTGGATGAAGGTTTGTCAGTGGAATTGTAGGCTGGCACTCCCCTGATCCATGTCTAAAATCCATATATGAGTGAGTACATACCATGTTTGTCTTTTTGTGACTGGGTTACCTAACTCAGGATGGTTTCTTCTAGTGCCATCCATTTGCCTGCCAATTTCAAGATTCCATTGTTTTTTTTTTTCCACTGAGTAGTACTCCATTGTATAAATGTACCACATTTTCTCTAGCCATTCTTCAGATGTGGGGCATCTAGGTTGCTTCCAGGTTCTGGCTATTATAAATTATGCTGCTATGAACATAGTGGAACAGACATCCTTGTTTATGAATGTGCATCTTTTGGATATATGTCTAAGAGTGGAATTGCTGGGTCTTGTGGTAGACTGAGTCCCATTTTCCTTAAGAATCTCCATACTGATTTCCTGCAGCACCCTTTGCGCAGCCTGTGTCTGAGAATGTGCAAAGGGTGTTGGGATTGATGGCACAGAGATCAGTCGGTGATGAAAGAAGGCTTCAAGAAGGCTTCAAGAAGCCCCAAGAAGGCTCTACTTTATTCTTACCCTGGCTGGTTATTATATGCCCAGACACCAGAGTTGGCAGTGGGGGGTCAGGAAGAGGTGGTTAGTCATTGGAAAGGTCAAGGTCAGGGTGTTCCCGTGGGCAAGCCCTTCTGAAAACATCAGGAACTTATTGTTCCAGTAAACATGCTTTTACTGACACCGGATTGTTTGTGGTAAACATGTTTTCTACCCAGCCTGCTCCCAGGCTGATGGGGAAGTGGGCCTCTGGCCAAGGCCTCTTGTTCCCACAATTTCCAAAGTGGCTGTATGATGGGGAAATCCTGTGTATATATCAATAAAGCACTGTTGGCCAATAGGGAAGCAAGATAGGTGGGACTAGGAGTCAAGGGGGATTCTGGGAAAGAGAGGCAGAGTCAGTCATGATGTAGCCGCCATAGGAATAAGAGGTCTGGACCCTTTTCTCCGGTAAGAGAAATACTTAGATTAGCAATTATGGTTAAATATTTAAGTCAGTGATAGCCAGTAAGAAACAAGCACACTACCAACAGCATCATAATTAATATAGCCTCCGGTGTGCTATTTGGGGATTCAGACTGTGTGGCAAGGCCCAAGAGGCTGGTGGGAAGGCTGCACTCTACAGCTGTAGAAGTTGACACTCCCACCAGCAGTGGAGGAGTGTTCCCCAGTGGCTGGGATTAATGTCATGTGCTCATATGTTTATCTGTATTTATTTTTGAAAACTGTTCTATGGCAGTCAGTGGCAGACGCAGTATCTTAACCGAACCAGGACAGTTTGAGCTGGGTCCAAGGAAGAGTAAGTGTGCTGCTTGCCTGTTCCCAGCCTTTCAGGGTCCTGAAAGACAATCACAAGTAGGAGGGAATCTAGTCAAGCTGGAGCTTGTTTATTACTACACAGCAAACATCTTGTAAAGGAAAAAAATGCAGAGTAGGGAAAATAGCCAGCCAATGGTTTTCTTTTTTTCCCTTTCCTTTTTTTTTTTTTTTTTGGTTTTATGAGACAGAGTTTCTCTGTATTGTTTTGGAGGCTGTCGGTCCAGCCTGGCCTCAAACTCACAGAGATCCGCCTGCCTCTGCCTCCCGAGTGCTGGGATTAAAGGCATGTGCCACCACAGCCCAACAGCCAATGGTTTTCTTTTTTTTTTTTTTTGGTCATGTGACTTTTAAGGGAATGCAAGTGAGGCTAGAAAAAAAGACATCAAAAATTAAGGAGACATGGGAATAGAAAGGACACTCTCATTCTGGGGTTTTGGCAGCAGAAGTTTAGCATTCCAACACAACTAACCTTTACTTTGAATGTTTCTTTAATAGAGACAGTATTTCTTCTTTCAAGATGTTTCAAATAAGATTTTTTTAATGCAAAAAACATATCAAAGGTCTAAGCATATATAACCTTTGAATGTGACCTGTCTACTCCTCCCAGATACAAACTTTTCATTTTTCTAATAAGATCACAAGAATGACTATTTACAGTTCTGTTCTGAAGCCCTTGTGACTCATCAGCCAATGGTTTTCAAGGTCAGATTATTAGGCATCTTGGAGCTCTAAGCTTTACCTAGTGAACACAAACTCTTCAGGTAATGACCTCATCTGGTTCCATCTAGGCAACCAATCACCTTTTATGTAAACAACTCAGGACTCACCCATCTAATTTCCCCTCAGCTCCATCTTTCACAGGCACATGTACCTTACAAGCAGACACCCTAAATGACTTATTAAGTTTTGTTCTTTTCCTGTGTGTGTGTTTGTGTGCCAGTATGCCTGCCTGCCTGCCTGTCTGTCTGTCTGTCTGTTTGTCTGTCTTTCTGTCTGTTGACTATGTATTACAGTTTTTAAAACTCAGATTGATCTTCCTGCCTCTATGTCCATATTGATGGAATGAAAGGAATGCACTATGTCACATAACTTGAAAATAATTTTTGTGTTTTAAATCTCCTCTTCTTATCATGACCAGGGAGGCCAGGAGATGGTGTCAGAACCCAGGATATATGAGTTACAGATAGCAGTGAGCTTCTATATACTAGGAATGGAAGCTGTATGCTCTGAAAGAATCTTCAGTGCTTTTCGCTGCTAAGGTATTTCCACCCTAAGTTTTCTATTCTTATTTTCGTTTATTTGTTTTTTGAGACAGGGTTACTCTGTGTAACAGTCTGGCTGTCCTGGAACTCACTCTGTCAACCAGGCTGGCCTCAAATTCACAAAGACCTACCAACTTCTGCCTCCAGAGTGCTGGGATTAAAGGCGTGTGCTACCACTGCCTAGTAAATTTTCTAGTCTTGATTATGTTTCCTGTTCAAGGCAGCCTTGTCAGGATAAGGCACCTGATGCTGATTAAAAAGGAGAATTCTCCATTTGAGAGAATAAACGTCAGGCAGGGATGAACTCCATAACTGTTTATGCAATAAAACATGGTAAGGCAATAATCCATATATGTACAACCAACACAAATGGATGAACCTGGTTGTATTCATGTATTTCAGTATTCTTATTCACCAATACATAACAAGGAAACAGTTGGAAGGGATTTGGGAATGGATGGAGTGAAGAGATAAAAGGGGGAAATGGTATAATACATTCTAATTATCAGTTTATGGAAATAAATTTTAAATTAAAAGAGGGACTAGAGAGATTGCTCAGCAATTAAGAGCTCTTGGTGTTATTACAGAGGACCCAGGTTCCTTTTCAGGAACTCATGTTAGTTAACAATTTGCTATAACTCCAGTCCCAGGTAGGTATGTCTTGACTTCTGGCCTCTGTAAGTACTGTGCACAGACACATGTAAGCAAAACACCAATATAACTAATTTTTTTAAAAAATTAGAAAATGGAAAGAATGGAAAACTCTACTGTTATGTGACAGACTTGAGACTCAGAACAGCTAGGGCTACTTAAAATGAACTCCTTTTGGTCTTGCATGGGAGCAGCTATGACCGTTCACAGGTCCAGTCTGCTCAGAGGCAAAAGTGGCTTTGTTCTGAGGTTAATAGAGATCATCATAACTATTCTTCTAAGAGCAGAGTATACAGAGCTGTTAGGTGACTTTTCCCTGACATTTTCTGTATTTGTGTTCTCTCTCTTTTTTTTTTTGTATCTGTGAGAATTGTGGCAGTGGTAATGTTACCTTTTAGATTAAATATCAAAATTGACAGGTCAAATATGTTCCAGTGTAATCTACTTTCACAATGTCATTTACTTTATTTTCAGGTAATATATTGTGGTTCAAGATGAACATGCCAGATGCATTTCTTTCCATCATTTTTATAATCTACATATGTTCCAACATGACTGTGAGGTAAGAGTGTCCCTAAATGTCTCTGCTTTTCCATTGTGATCATGTTCAGAAGTGCATCCGAGCATACTTAGGAGTAGGCAGAACCCTATGTGAATGTGTTGAGACTCCCTAAGTAAAAACTACATGCTTCCTTTGTTTAGGGAAAACATTGTTTTGGAAATAACTCTCATGCTCTACTTGCCTCCTGCAGGTAAGACTTTCTCACATCTTCTCTCTTGACTGTAGTGATGGCTATTCTTGTTATTCAAACTGACTACCTCTGGAATCAACTAAGACCCTTGGGTTACCTGTGAGGGATTTTTCTTAAAGGTTTTAAAATTAAAGACCTATCTTTAATCTGGATAGTTTGAATTAATAAGACTTACCTTTAGCTGATTGGCCGCAGCGCATATCTTTAACCCCAGCACTCACGAGGTAGAGGCAGTTGAATTTTCTGAGTTTGAGGCCATAGGTCTACAAAAAGAGTTCCAGGTTTAGACAGACAAACCCTGTCTCAAAAACAGTAAAAAATCAAACAAAGAATAAGATCCACCTTTAATCTGGATTGTACTTTCTGGTAGCAGCTGACCTATATAAAGGCTATTGAAGAAGGAAGCTCTCTCCTTTTGCCTGCTTACTCTATCTCTGGCTACCAAGTTCATTCTGTTACTACTAGCATTAGAACACACATATTCTGAATTCTGGTGTACACTGAAGACCAGCTGAGATGTCCAGCCTCATGGACTGAACAAGTACTGGACTCTTTACATTTTCATTGGTAGGCAGCCATCACTGAACTACCTGAACCAAAGCTTTTGAGACATTCTAGTAAATTGACTTTCTACATACACGGAGAGACTCGTTCTCCCAGTCCTATTCCTGTAGAGAACATAGAATCAGCTGAGGATGATTTGTTGACTAACAATAGTGCTCATAAACACAATCTCCCCAGTTCCATTATTCTCTAGGTATTCAACTTTCCATGAAGAGTACTCCTTAGGGGCTGGTGAGATGGTTCAGTGGTTAAGAGCACTGGCTGCTCTTCCAGAGAACATAGGTTCAAGTCCCAGCAACCACATGGAAGTTCACTACTGTTTTGACTCCAATTCCAAGAGGATCTGACACCTTCATATAGACATACATGTAAGCAAACCAGCAATGCACATAAACTAAGAATCATTTACAAATGGAACAAACAGATAAGTCTTTTTTATTATTCAAGAGTATGCTCTGAATTTCAGGCTCCTAAAGCAATGCAGCCATCATCCAGCCTTGTGATTGGAGAAAGACTTATTTTCTTGTTTGAGATCTGGTTCCTGCTTTTCTTTCCTGGGTGTCTGAAGTCTCAGTGATAGCCATGAAAAAACTACCTTCAGTTCACCTGATCTCAGTGTGAAACTACAGAACAAGCATCTCCTTTTGTGTCCTGAAATCTCTTTTTAGTTGCTAATCTTCTGGGCACCCTTCCACCTGTGGGACAGGGAATAATCACTCCACTTACATTGCATAGTGGCCTGTGCAAGCTAGCTAAGCACATTGTATCCGGGAGGAAGAAGGGAGTGAAGGAAGACAGCAGGGCTTGTTATTGGAGCCCCCGGGGCAAGTGCTGTTGAAATGCACTTATCTGCTGATGTAGAAAAGGCTTTATCTGGGGTGAAAGGCCAGGTCAGGAATCATTGTGTTGTGTCTTTAAGGACAGTGTAACCCTATGGGAGGTGCCCTTGTCACTCAGGCCTCACTAGCCAATCAGGCCCTCCAGGTGACCTGTCACTCAGAAGAGGTGCAGTGCACTTCAGGGCCCCAGATTCAGGCTTGTCTCTGAAGAGGAGCTGGCCCCTTCTTTTGTGTGCTGTGCTGCTAGTGCTGCTACAGGGAGCTGAGTGGAGAGTTTGGGCAAGCTGTGTAATGATGACAGCATGGTGAGTGAGGGGTTGCTGTCCCCAGATGCAGAAGAGCAGATGATGAGGTGCAGGAGCCAGTGTCGTGTGTCCTCCCCAGATCTGTGTGGGTACCTGCAGCCAGATTCCCTGTCCGGTGAGGTCCCATGTGGTCTGCACAACTCCCTGGATCCAGGGGCTGGCCTCTGAATAACAGGTCTGTGGGCTGAATCTGCTCAGGGCATTGGGAGCAGGGAACTGTGTGTAGACACATCTTTCTAGTCAGCTTCAACATGCTTTTGGTGCACCCAAGGAAAGCAGGTTGCCAAACTCGGACAGGCCTAGTTTCTCCAATATCTTTTAGACATTAATCACTCTTCATTTTATCTTTATGCGTAAAGATCATTTATTGCTAATTTTGTGGCAGTTGTAAAAGGCATATCATGTGTTGAGTAGAACTCCGATTATATGCCATGAAGTAGGAGTGCAGAATTATTGATATAAATGATTTACCAATGCTTAGGCAATAGTAAGTCTCACAAAGTAGAATGTAGCTGAGGGCAGACTGCCTCTAAGACACCCAAAAGACACGTGTATGCTAACCAGGCCTGTTAGAGATTAGAATGCTAGGAGACACATGTGTTCACTAGGATTGGGGCATTTGGCTCCAAACCATTACAAAGACGTTTCCCCCATCCCCATATCAAAGAACAGGCCTGTAACAAATTGTTTAAGGAGGCTTTACAGGGTCACAGCCAACCTTAAGGTCTGATGTGCCATAAAGTTCCAGTTTTCTTCTTGAGAAAAGCACAGTTCTGCCAATGGACAATAGGATGCCAGGAGACAACTATTTGAAAAACAAAACAATATTGTGTTAAGAACTTTCCTGATCAAACAAGCCTTTCATTTAGGCCCTCGGGGTGGGAGGAGGAACATTCTTGGGAGAGGTAGAAACAGCTTAGGTTTTGGGAGGGTTCCTTAAGTGCCTGATGTATTGACAATAAAACAGAGCTCTTTCTCTAAAACCTGGAAGATGCTTGGGAGAGCTTAGCTGGTAACAGTCTTGGGCCAGGGCCTTTGTGGAGAGTATGCTTCAGATCTTGAGAATCCAATTCTTCCCACTATATGGAGCTATGGTTTTCAGTCCCAAGGTCACTGTGGGCTTAGTCAGAAAAATTCTTGAGATACTCTGTGATTCCCTTGTGTAGTGTCATTTGAGTAGCCAACTCCTGAGTTTGTCCCATTGTAGGATAGTTTCCACAGACTTCATAGAAGTCTCCCATTTCCCTCCACTTCCCCCCACTCGGGAGTACAAGGTGGTATTCTTAAGAAGCTTAAATCCCAGCACTGGAGGCAGAGGCAGGCAGATCTCTGTGAGTTCAAGGCCAGGTCAGTGTGTACTTTAGAAATTATTCTAGGATATATCTTCTCTGTGCTATCCTCCTTTATGCCTAAGTGGCTAGACCCACAAGTTCCCTGTCTCTAATTTGTTCAATGTGTAACCTGGAGAATGAACCTAAAAGACACTTAAGGATGATGGCAGATGTGGAATGCAAGTGTGTCTAAGCTGACTTCAGTTTGAGCATTAGCCAGAGATGGATGCATGCCATCATTAAAGAGATTTTTCTTTATTAGTCTCCCAAATGTGTGAAGTGGTGTCTCCCTGGGAAGGCACATTAATACTAGGACAGCTGCATTACCATCTTGTTAGAAAACATGTAAAACTGTCTCATGTTGACTTAGGTAGATTTGATTCCAGTCTGTTGCTTTCCAGGGCAAGGACCTTGATGTCCTCTATATTACACCTTCAAAATTCTTAAATTAAATACTGTACCCCCTCAGAGATTTAAAATTGCCCATTTGAGTCACGTAGTTAACTATCCAAATCAGTCACAGGAAAGGAATTTACATGTGAAGCATTGTTTCTGTCTTCAGACCAAAACAGGAGGAATAGTTTATTGTGTACAATGTAAGGGAAACAGGGCAGGCAACCAGCTTCTGGAGTCACCATTATGAAGAAGGACCTGATTGTGCTATCAGGGATGGATTTTGTAATTTCCCAGCATGTTTTAATTCATGTCATGTGAATGAACACAGACCTGTGTGGGAGTACAGCTTGGAAAGTTTATCTTGAGCCAATGAATATTGAATTTCCAATTAGGCAACTCTTCTATGCAGATATGTGCAATCCTGTTTGTCACAGTTAAGTCAACTTGGAGGTTTGAGACACAGGGCATTGGATGTAGCTCCATGTGACAGCATACAGCACTCAGTAGCTAACGTTTTACATGGGACAAAGTCATACACTATCTATTAATGGCATTCTCCCTACCAGGGAACTGTATACTCTGTTTCAAAGTTAGTAAGATAAGTGTTTGTTCACTTGTTTTTATGTGCTTAAAATAATCAATTATTGATAATATTTTTAAAATTTCATTTTCTTTCAATGCATTGCCACTATCATTCCTTTGTTTCTATTTTTTCATTGTTTCCTAGTTTAAGAATTTCATTTCATTTTTTTGGTCAAATTGTATTTAATTTTTTTCATATATTTTTTATTTAACTTTTATGTATGTCACTTTCAGTTCCCTCTCCCTCCCTCCCTTCCCCACCCCCCAATCCTCTCAACCCATCACCCCTACTTCACACCCCCTCTGCTCCCCAGTGAGAGCAAGGGCCTCCATGAGGGATTTTCAGGCTCTGTCACATCATTCCAGGAAGGGCCCATGTTATTCCTCATGTGTCCAGGCTGAGATAGCATCTCTCCAAGTGGTATGGGTTCCCAGAGTCCTTCTATATGCCAGGAATAAATACTGCTCCACTCTCTCAGGTCCCACAGACTGCCAAGGCCTCGTCTCTGTCACCCAGAGGGTGTCTGGATCAGTCCCATGCTGACCCCTCAGTCATCAGTCTGGGGTCCATGTGTTCCCCCTTGTTTAGGTCAGCTGCCTCTGTGGGTTTACCAGCCCAATCTTGATTCCTTTGGTCATCACTCTTCTTTGCAACTGGGTTCAGGAGTTCAATTCGGTTCACAGCTTTAGGTGTCTGCCTCTGCCTCCATCAGCCATTGGATGAGAGTTCTAGGATGGCATATAAGGTAGTCCTCATTCTCATTATCATGGGAAGGCATTTAAGGTAGCCTTAATGCCAGTTGACGTCATTCTTGTAGATCTGTGAAGATCTTACTAGTGCCAGATCTCTCCTTCAACTTATACTGGCTCCCTCTTTTCTGGTATCTCCCATCCTTTTCTCCTCTATTCTTACCCTGGCTCAACCTTCCTGCTCTTCCATGTCCTCCTCTCCCCTCCTCTTTTCTCCCTCTCTTTCTCCCATCTC